GTGTGTGTGTGTGTGTGTGTGTGTGTGTGTGTGTGTGTGTGTGTGTGTGTGTGTGTGTGTGTGTGTGTGTGTGTGTGTGTGTGTGTGTGTGTGTGTGTGTGTGTGTGTGTGTGTGTGTGTGTGTGTGTGTGTGTGTGTGTGTGTGTGTGTGTGTGTGTGTGTGTGTGTGTGTGTGTGTGTGTGTGTGTGTGTGTGTGTGTGTGTGTGTGTGTGTGTGTGTGTGTGTGTGTGTGTGTGTGTGTGTGTGTGTGTGTGTGTGTGTGTGTGTGTGTGTGTGTGTGTGTGTGTGTGTGTGTGTGTGTGTGTGTGTGTGTGTGTGTGTGTGTGTGTGTGTGTGTGTGTGTGTGTGTGTGTGTGTGTGTGTGTGTGTGTGTGTGTGTGTGTGTGTGTGTGTGTGTGTGTGTGTGTGTGTGTGTGTGTGTGTGTGTGTGTGTGTGTGTGTGTGTGTGTGTGTGTGTGTGTGTGTGTGTGTGTGTGTGTGTGTGTGTGTGTGTGTGTGTGTGTGTGTGTGTGTGTGTGTGTGTGTGTGTGTGTGTATGTGTGTGTGTGTGTGTGTGTGTGTGTGTGTGTGTGTGTGTGTGTGTGTGTGTGTGTGTGTGTGTTTGTATAACGCATAACTCATGAACCGATACACAAAAAAACACCAAATTTTAAACTTAAGCTTTGTTTCAGCGTCCAATGAGCTGATTAGATTTTGGGCAGAGTCGGAACATCTGGGGGGGTACTTTATAGGTGGTCATTTTTATATTTTATGGAATATATCTGTTATTTACGTTTGGAGAAGAAAATTTTTCTATAATTATCTATAATTTTTGTTTTATGCAAAATTTTCCTAAAATGGTCCGTATTCGAGAAATTTGATAAAATGTAAAAAAAATAATTTTTTATAAAAATTGTTCAAATAAAAGTTGTTTGTAATATAATTCTCTATAATTTTTATTCTATACATAATTTCTCTAAAATGGACCGTATTCGAGATATTTGAGAAAATGTGTAAATTTCGAATTTTTAAGAAAACTCAAAAACGGATAAAGAAAAAAACATTAAATTTTAAACTTAAGGATTATTTCGGCCTGACGTGAAATGATTAGATTTTGGACAAAGTCGGAACATCTGAGGGGGTACTTTATGGGAGGCCGTTTTATATTTTATGGAATATATCTGTTATTAATGTTTGGAGAAAAAAATTGTTTAAATAAAAGTTACTTCTAATATTATTATCTATAATTTTTGTTTTATGTAAAAATTTCCTAAAATGGTCCGTATTCGAGAAATTTGACAAAATGTGCAAAATTCTGATTTTTATGAAAGTTTTTAAAATAAAAGTTGTTTGCGATATCGATCTCTATAATTTTTGTTTATACATGATTTTTCTAAAATGGACCGTAATGAAAAAATTGTAGGAAATTTAAATTTTTCAGTATTTTCGTTTTCCATGAATATCTATAGAAAAATGTTTCGAGGTAGATGTATGTGGACAATGTATATATTTAGTTTATCCTCTAAAAATTTATAGAGATGCTGCAATAGGTTGTACAAAATAACCGGAAAAGCCTATAATAACTAGATAGGAAAGTCATGTGTTGGACACATCAGATTTTTTTTTAAGTTTTTGTGTAATAAAAAACGAAACTAATTTTTATTTATTATACGTTTCTAAATGAAAAATATAAATAAATTACTTAAAATGTATCTAAATATATTTAAAAAACAAATTTCGTTATTGATAACGGTAAACTTATTTAAGTTGGTAACCAATTAAAAATGGTCGTCAGAGTGTAACTGCAATAAAATGTTTTTATAATAATTAAAATTTAATAGTAGGTAAACTTTAAACCGTTATTCTTTTTTAACGTTTTATACTTTGATAAAACTGAATATTGTTTTATATACATGTGATAGTAAATATGTAAATAGGAGAGATTGGGGTAAAGTGGCCAAAAAAGATATTTAAGGTGCAACTCAAATAGTAATTTGTACAACGTAAATGGATATAATAGCTATATAAACAAACCACTCGAGTTGCACAGTATATTTTTAAGACTTGCTAGAGAAAAACTTAAAAAATTTAAAAATTAATTTAGAAGTTATTAAGCTAAAAATAAAGACTTACTTAAGTATTTAACACAATGATACTTTTGCTATATTAAATGTGTTTAATGAGGAAATTGTGTGGTGTAGATAAGGTGACCAAACCTCGGACCAAACGTCCCACTTTCTGTGGGACAGTCCTGATTTTTAACAATTTTTTCTGCGTTCTGCGACATTTTAAAAAAGTCTCAACGAATTCAAAATTATTTAGAGTTCAACAATTCAAGCTTCTCTAACGGTAACACTTTAACATACTATAATACTCAAGACAAATTTTACATAAGTTAAATTTAAAAAAATATAATAAAATTTTGTTGCTCTAAAACAATTTTAACAATTTTTTTGAAGACAACTACTCCCTCCTCCTCCATCAATTTTGTCCGTCCCCACCAATGTTTTTGTGGATTTTTATATAATATTTTGTAAAAAATGTAAAGAATGTGATTAGGCAAGATAAAATGTTATAAATGAGATGAATCAAATAACTTAGTTCAAAATTGTCTACAATAAATTACATTGATTCAATGTGTTTTTATTTACTTATTTCAAACTTTTGTTACTTATACAGGATGTATCAAAAAATATGTGCCATCCCTCTTGGGGTGGTTCTTTACTTAAAAATAAGACAATTAGTTCTTATTAACATGGGTCTGCACTCTGCAGATGCTTTATTTCAAAAATAGAGGGCGTTATATTTTTTTTAATATTTCTGAAACTGCTTTATCGATTTGAATTATATTTTGTTTGTAAAATGTACTTAAAAAAGTACAAATTTTAGCATTTAAAAAGATGTAAACAGGTCCACCATGAGCGTGCGTGTAAACGGACGCTTTAATAATTTTTAACAAATAAGTACACCACTGGGGCTCAGACAGGCCAAGATACTTCTGGGTGAATATAACCAGAAAAGTTCGGAAGCCTGCATCTGCCTGAGCAAGAACAGCCTACATATTGTAACAGGGATCCTTACCAGGCATTGCCGACTGAAAGGAGACCTAAGTAAACTGAGAGTAGTAGAGGATAGTGAGTGCAGATTCTATGAGGAGGAAGACGAAACCTCCATTCACATCCTAACTGAATGTGTAGCACTCCAGAATCCAAGGGCACTATATCTAGGAGGATATCAAACAGAAAAGGGAGATTTACCTAACTTGAAGCCACTTCAAATCCTACACTTCCTTGAGAAAATAGGATTGGAAGGGTCGTTATAGGCATTGAGACATTTCCTTGGTGCATTGGCGCGACAGAAGGGGGCACAATAGATCTTTTAGGTCGCAGTGTATTAACACCTCATTCCCAACATAACATACACCACTGATTTTTTTCACTTTTTGACACCACAATTAGTTATTTAAATGAATAATAAACATTAATGTATTATATTTTTTGTATCTAGGATTAGTTTGGAAGAAAAAAAAATAAAAATTGTATCACCCAACATCTTTGAAACAAAGCATCCTGTGGACCCATGTTGATAGGAATTATTTGTCTTATACGTTTGAGTAAGGAATTACTCCATGAGCGATGGTACATGTTTTTTTAAACACCCTGTATAAGTACTAAAAACTGTCTGAAGCAAAGATTTAGTAAATTACCAGAATAGAGGCTTTATGAGTTCGAGACTCCACTCCCAGTTAATTCTCTGAAAACTTATTAGAATTAGACATCTGCATATTATTTGTTTCTACACCCACATGGATTTTAGCTTATCTACTCACATATTACAAAACGAAAAAGTATGCTGTTGTGTTCAACTGAACGAATATATTTCATATCCATTCTAGTTATTGAGAACACTGCAAAAAAATAGAAGCCACCAATCACAGTTCATATTTTGGACACCCAACTGCTATTATTTTTTAAATTTTAAATAAGTGACAATTCTGTCAAACTAATTATCAGTAAATTTTTTAGTTATTTAGATTAAAAATACATTAAAATTAGTTATTTTTGTGTAGAATCAAAAAATAATAGCATTTTTATTTGGTCCACATTTAAAAAAAAAATTAAATTTTAATCAAACTATATAGGTAAGAAACTAATTTAATTAAAAGTATTAAAATTAAAATCATAAAAGTGGCCATGGAGCCTTCCAGGCGAATCAGGGCTTGGGACAATTTTTTTTCATATTTATTTTATTTCATAAATTAGTTAAATTCATAAATTATTTTAAAATTAATTATTTTGTCTTAATAACCTGAAATAATTTTTGCAGATTTTCGTTAGTGGGTTGTAGAAAAAATATACTGTTTAATTCTAGTGGATTGTCCACATCCACTCTTTTTGCACAAACTACTATAATATCATACCTAGTAAATATGAGTAAATAAAGACAGCAACTAAAAAAAAAACAAAGTTCAGAATGGCTTGTTTAAAAATTAGTTTTAAAACAATAATTATTATTTTATTAAAAAAAAACAATTGGCTAGATCACAATCATAATAATAAATATTAATTTTATCTCTGTAGGTATATCATAAAAACAATGCAAGTCATTGCCTCTTCATATTGTTATTGTAAAAAAAAATACAAATTTTCTATATCAATTTACTTATTTTGGAAATTCTGAAAAATAATATAAATACTATTAATTAGAAACTGATTTACATATTTTTTTTCTATTATCCTTATAGAAAATGTAAAATATTTTTATTTTAAAAAATTAATTGTTTAATTATCACTAATTTGCGCAAGATAATGAACTAAGATTTTTGTTCAAAATAGTGATGCCTACAAGTATGTATGCTTAGCTTTTTTATAAGCGAAAAGAGATCAAACTAGACAATGACCAAAATTGGTCCTACTTATGTAAAAGAATTGTAAGATTTAAAAAAAATAATAAGCACCTAGAATTGTTTTTTGAAAAAAGAATAAGTACATTTTTTATTCCATTAAATAATTGTACTCACTGTAAATCTAGCCCTTTCTTCCATAATCTCATAACCAACAATGGGAATTTGAATATTACCAAGGGCAATATCCTCATTGTGTAAAAACTGTGGAAATGGTGGAAAACAGTTACCATTTTCTTCCTCAATCCTAGCGTTTTGCAAAGACAAGGTGATATTCGAGCTGCTAGACTGTCCTGAGTATTGGAAGTTCTTGTACCTTTAAAAAAAGTTCCATACAGTACTTATACACAGCAGACACCTCCTCAGATTTATAAACTATACACAAGATATTGAAAACTTCTGTTAACAAACCTTTAGCCAAGCAAAAACTTACCTTAAAGGTTCAGACAAGTATTCTTCAGAATCAGTAGTTGCTATCTCCTCAGCCTTGTCAGATACATTCTTCTTACTATTATTTGTCGTACTTGATTTATATTCTTGAGAATTCACTGTATCACTTTTTGTACTAGAGCTATCACACATTTTTGTAGAAATATAAATACCTAAATAGAATTAAATCACAATTTTACTTGCACCTTGTATTTTTTTTTTAGTTTGATTTATAAGACATCATTAAATTAAACTTGGTTTCAATAAAATAATAGCTTGTAGGGTGGTAGTAAATGATAAATTCATGCTTTTTAACTGTATCAAATCATAAGTAATAATAACTAAAATTGAATTAAATAAAAATGATTAGATGTTGCTTTTGTTCACAGTCAACAAGTAAATTTAAGTTTCTGACATTTCTTGACGTTTTAAATGTCAAATATAGTAACATTGCTCCTAGGCTAGGCAATACACATTACAGTATCGCATTGTTTTTGCATATTTTATATTTTTTTTATTTTATAATCTTAAAGCAACCTATCCGGAATTCGATTTTTCCTATATTTTATCTTATAAAATTAGCTAACAATCGAAATTAAGTATTGAAATTAAAAATAAAATGTATTTAAAATCTAATTATTAAAATTGAGTATACACAACCGACAACACCGTAACTTTGTTACTGCATACATCCAAAATTCTTACTGTCATTGTCATTTATGTCAAATCGTTAGATGTTGACACTTGACACTATTTTATAAATATTTTTATTTGTAATTTATAAAAATGGTTTACATACATTTTCCAGCAAATTTTACGGAAGAAGAATTAATGTTGCAAGCTAAATACCAAAAACTTAAGAAAAAGGTAAGTCAAATATAAAAATAACTTCATTCTTAACCATAAATATTTATGTATAGAAAAAAGCATTGCAAGCACTCAAGGCTCCTAAACCCGAACCAGAAAAGCCCATAATTCCAAAGAGACCAGCAGAAGCGAGAGATGCTAGAGAGGTAGCCAAAAAATTGATAAAATCTGGTGTTATTCCAGCAATATCTAAACAACAAAAACAACCTGAACATGGGTTTAAAAGGCCTAGAGGCTTGGAAAGAAAGTTGATTTCTGACAAAACTGTTAGCGGATACCAACCATTTTCAGCTGTACAAATGGACGATGGCCCTGATAACCCAGAAAATAAACCCCCCAGGATCAAAAACCTTTATGACACTTTCGCAAATGCTAGAGATAGAGAGGAAAGAGGACTCAATGAAAAACAACAACAGCAACAGAAACCTGATAAACCCAGGCAAGGGAATACGATTTATGTATCTGGGTATTCAATTACAGAGGAGTTTTTGAAGAAACATTTCTCTACAATTGGCAAGATTATTAACATTTCTATGGAAATTGAAAAAAAGTATGTTTAAAATGTAGGTGTTTATTTAAATTAATTTCGGTTTTTTTCAGTCGGGGATTTATTACTTTTGAGAAGGTGGATGCTGCAGAAAGAGCTATTTCTGAGGTAAAGTATAACATTTTTAGACCTGACAAATAGTTTAACTTTAAATCTTGAACGAAAATTACAGGATGGAGGTCTCCATTATTATAAATGTAATATGTAATTGACATATGCAATGTGAAAAGGTCCATTTCTGTTTAATAAATTTCAAATTTTTTCAGATGCATGGAAGCATGGTATCAGGTATTCCTCTGAAGGTGTCTTTAGCTAGAAGACAGCCACAAATTGAACCTATTAATGATGCTACATCCTCAACTGCTTGGGCTACTTTGGGTAAGCATTGAGTTTTTTGAATATGAAATGTTATTCCTTCTTCTCATACTGAAGAAATATTTTCTTTTATAGCTTCAAGTCATTCTCAAAAAGGCAACCATAGAGATAAGAGGAACTTGGTAATTTATGATGACATATTTGAGTAAATAAAACATAGATGTTTGTGTAATAAGGTCAAATGGGAATTATTTTCCAATACTTTGGACTATATTGGCAAGCAATTGTTGGCAATGACTGTACCATGAATATGATGGAAAGTGTAAATATTTATTTAGGACTATATTTTAGGTGATTATGATAAAATCACATTTTTTTAATAAATGAACTAGAATTTAATTTTGAAGCCTTTTTTACAAAAAACTGGCATTTGTGTCCACTTTTTTTGTATTATTGTAAATTTGATTTTTATTTAATTGTCAAATACTATCTTGTTTTCATGTCACGCAACTATTGTGGGATCATTTTAACCCCATGTTTAAAATAGAAATAACTTTTTTACCAATATTTGACCAATTTTTTTTTAGTTATATGAAGGGGGTCGCGACATAGGAGTCCATTTTGGACGCCATTTTTTTCGAAATAGTAGTCGCCATTGATCTGGCAACGTGGCAACTTGTAGTCGCCAGGTTTACCAATATAAGAAAAAAAATCAATGTCATTTAAGAAATGACATTTCCATTATAAAATGCCCATATTTTTTAGGATAAAATATTTCAATTTAATAAATTATTAATTTCAGATGTACATAAAATACGTCTGGCAAAGTAGATCACTTTCAATTTTGTTCTGTTTTAGTTTTGTTTATTTTAAAAGGTAATTAAAGAGATGAAGACAATTTTCTTATAGATGATGCATAACAAATTATTGCTGCCTTTTTTAGAGCTCCAGTCCCTTAAGTCTATTTATTTTAGGTCTTTTTAAATTGTTGGTAGGTATTATTCACTTCATTTGTATGTTTTTAGTTAATTTAAATAATTTTGTGTAATATCTTGCGATTTGTTTTCTATACATTCTATACATCTTACAAAGGATGGATTTGAAATACCTTTACAACAGAGGTACTTTCCTAAAACTGGCCGAAATTTGAAACTGAATACAGTTCTTAGAGAAAATCTCCAGTAAAAAATGTCTGCATGCAGAATAACAGTAGCATAGATTAACAAAGCTGACAAAAGAGTTGGACAAACCTTTGTCTAGCTTTCTTAATATTTCAGGACAATAGTGTTAACAGCAGATTACAACAAAAACATCCAAAGTTTAGTAATCAAGCAAAATATTCCGGTATCTATATTTTTATTCAAAACTTTTGTGCTTCTACTCCAATACTAACCATATAGAAGCATATGCATTTTATAGTATTTGCAAGATTCGGATCAAATGTACCAACAATTTATAAAGATTATTAAACCAAAATAAAACATTTCAAATAACACTTGCTTTTATGTTAAATATGTTTTTATTAAATACATAAATTAGTCTCAACCACACATTTTTTTTTGTTTTTACTTCTAGTGTAAAAGTGACTACTAATTCAGTCTCAAGTTTATTATTTATAGAGACCAGCTACTACAAAATATCTTATTGATGATAACTAATTTCTCTTTAATAATGGTTTTGCATTTATTAACATTTTACAGCACTTTGTTTATATGAAACCTCTATTTAACTCTTAATTAAATCAAGTAATTACATTTTCATATTCAACTTATGTATTCTTATTAGAACTTGGTCACTTTTTTTTTACTTTGAATCTTTTGACTGTGGTAACAGTCCATTCACCAAACCACAAAGTCACTTAAAAATGTTGAAAGAGAATGTCATAAAGGTAAAAGTCCTTCTTCTATCATGTTTTTCATGCAATTTTAGGTTGTAAACCTTTTGTCCAACACCTTTTTTACAATTTATCCCAAGCAACACTATGAAAGATTTAAATCCTGGATTTACAGCATTCAGTTTTGAGATGAGTGCAATCACAATGTAGTTTAAGAGATAATTTTCACATGAACACTTATTTACCACAGCACAAACGCATGTACCTATTCATGTAACATTAAAATAAAGTGGAAACAAATTGCATAATTTGGTATATAAAAAAATACAAAATGTTTTTAGTTTTAATTCGACATTGGACTACGAGGAAAACAGTGGTTCATTCCACTTGTACCATATTGACATTATTATGCACGATGCTCGTTCAAACGAACGTCAGAAAAGTGTTGCCAACTTAAGCTGACTACTATTTCCCCCCTAGCCTCAGTCACCCCCTTATCCATTTACTGGGTCTATGTCGCGACCCCCTTAGATATACCAGCCCTGGTTATATGTAAAAATCACAATGATTATTGATATATTAAGTAATTTTCATAAAGTACATTGATTAAAAAAAATATTTTAACAGTAAAATTTTCATATAAAAATATTTGTAATTATATACCCATTTTGATTCATTATAATTATTACCAAATTAATCTAGAAACGTGACAGAAGCGCAGTTTTACGTTCATTCATAATAATTATTGTAGACGTAGTTTGTGTGACGTTTGTTTTTAAAGTGTTATATTTTTTTGTAAAATGTTTTATTTATTTAGAAAATGATAGTTTTGGAGAATTATGGTCAAGGTATATCAAGTTTGATGAAAATTGGACTATCTAAATATTTATTTTCGTTTTATAGGTAAGTTTATATTATATGTTAGAATTCAAACCAAAGGCTGACATAAATTAAAATTTATTTGAAATTATAATTATTATTAAGTAGTTATTTTGGGTAATTTTCATGAAAAGCAGACATTTTGTCAAATATTTTAAGATAATATAAAATGTATGTTCAATAACACACTAAAATCAAAAAATAAATAGGATAATCACTTGGCAAGTAATAATAAAATATTTTATTTCTATGAGATATTTATGTTTACATTTATATTTACGTTTTAACAACCTTCCATTGTCCAAAACCATAAGAATAGTAAGCCTATCATTTTTCAGATTTCCTTTAAATGTTGAAAGGAAAAAATATGGTTGCTGATGATACAATAATTATTCCCAAATCTGGTATTTTAGATATCTTCAAGCTATTTTTGTGATGATGACTTTCTCTATAAGTCAAACGTAGTCTGATATCTGAAGAAGTCAAAAACCAGAAATTTGTCAACCTCACTGTTCAAGTTAGAGCATATATGAATTTAATATCAGTACATTTATATTTTCATTATTTTTTATGAATATAATAGATATTTTTGCAGTGTTTCTACACTTTAACCAAAGCTGGTTATTACCACACCTTTGGAAGGTTCATAAAATTATAAAATCATTGTACACACGTATTCCTAATGTTATGCATAATTAATTTATTAAAATGTACTTATTTTATTGTAATTATAATTAAAATCGTTAGTTGAATAATTATTGTACCAATTGGTGTCAGGCGCGGCTTCCAATAATTTTTGCATTGCGATTATCCTACTATAGTTCTTTATACAATGGTACTATGCGGTAATTGATTTGTGTAAATATTTTGTCTGAATTTACTTTTGTCGAGTTTCCTTGAAAAAGAGCGAAAATACATGATAGAAATCCCTTACTCAGATACTTTGTATTTCTAAAAATTGCTCTCCAAGTAACCCTCATAAAAGATACAGAAAATGTGAAATACAATTAGATAAATTAATAATACGAAAATGTTATTGAAATACAGTGTGTAAATAATTTTACATTGTTTCAAGCTTAATTAACGCCTTGACTGTGTTACCCGAAACTGGTGTTTCTGTTTCTATGCATTATCGGTCACTAATTCTACTTCCGTACGAGTGTCGTGCGAAGTTATTCGCATTTTATCATTTAAGGACACCCAGGGCTGGATCACAGGGGATCATTTTTCCATAATATGATCTTCATCCCATATGATCTTCATCCCATATGATCTTCATCCCATAAACATTTCTCTTTGCGTTAAAGTTTCATGTAATTTCGCAAGAGTTACTTAGTGGTTCTTATACGTATCGTAAATGACATCATGAATGTGTTCATAATTAAAAATTTCGCTTACAGGTTTGGGATGTGGTCGCTTTTTTGAGGAAAATTTAAAATATGGTTTTTCTTTGATGCATAGAAAATTGAGCTTACCGTCGAAATATTCAAATTCAGTGCCGCTGCTACACGCTCTCCGACTGCATTTATTGCCAATAAAGGGCAACCATTATCTCGTTCTTCAAAATATATTAATTACACTGATAGACACATAATTTGTGACATGAAAATTTTTAGGTGTTTCTAATGCAGTTTGATACCCTGAAGTCAAATCTGAAAACAGAATTTTTCTATCACCCACAGATATTCTGTAACCTGCTGCTTTAGATTTTACAATATGTAAAATTTTGAATCATCTCATATTTTCATATGATCAGGGATCTATTCTTTTACGTTTTGTAAATTACTGTGTTTAATATTTTTAGGTACAATGCCTAAGCAGTGCATAAACAGTGCCAACAGTTTTTGTTATGTGTACAGAGAACTAACTTTTAAGTCGCAAAAACCTAATTTTACTCCGCTCACGAACTGTATTTTGGTGTTAAAAGTTGGGAACCAAGACAAAGCATGGGCCCCTCATATCTGTTGTAAAACTTGTGTAACATTGCAGCTTGGTTAAAAGGTTCAAATCGTAAAATGCCCTTCGCAGTGCCAATGGTTTGGAGAGAACCTAAAGACCATGTTACAGACTGCTATTTTTGCCTCACAAATATTAAAGGTATTGGACCGAAGTCTAAACATATGGTTAAGTACTGTAATTTACCATCAGCTTTAAGACCTGTCAAACACAGTGAACAACTTCCTTTTCCAAAGCACCAGAATCTTGGAGTCTCGATGAAGAATTAGAATCGACTGATTCTTTAAGTGATGTTACAGAAACCGCAAAGGAAATAACCGATCCTTTATTTGATTTACCAGCGCCGCATTTAATTTCACAGGGTCAACTTAATGACTTAGTTCGAGATCTAAGCCTACAAAATCGCAGTCCGAACTTTTAGCATCCAGACTAAAAGGTTGGAATCTTCTCCAAAGTGATGTAAAGATTACTTTTTACAGAAAAAGGCGAAAGACCTCACAAATTGCGTTTTTTAAGACGGAGAACTGGTATACTGTTCAGAAGTTAACCTTTTGTTTAACGCACTAGGACAGAAACATTATCCACGTGATTGGCGTCTATTCATTGATTCCTCTAAACTTAGTTTAAAGGCGGTATTGGTTCATAACGGTAACGAATATCCATCTGTGCCCTTAGCTCATGCGGTTCATATGAAGGAATCATATAAGAATATGAGAGTTCTTTTAGAGCACATCCGTTATCATGAGTATGGTTGGGCAATATGTGGAGACCTAAAAGTAATAGCCCTTCTTCTTGGAATGCAACTAGGATATACGAAATATTGTTGCTTCCTTTGCGAGTGGGACAGCCGTGCGACAGACCGTCATTATGTACAGAAGCAGTGGCCAGTACGTCAGGCACTAACTCCGGGACAAAAAAAACGTTACCAATGAACCTCTAGTTGATCCCAAAAAGGTATTACTACCACCTTTGCATATTAAATTGGGTTTAATCAAGAATTGTGTTAAGGCAATGGACAGAAATGGAAGAGGGTTCTTGTATCTGAAACAAAAATTTCCAAGAATCAGTGAAGCAAAAATTAAGGAGGGCATATTTGTGGGTCCGCAAATAAGAGAAGTAATGAAAGATAAAACATTTGAGGAAATGCTCAATGAAACTGAACTACGAGCCTGGAGTGCTTTTAAAAGCGTTGTTGCAAATTTTCTTGGAAATGTGAAAGCTGACAATTACAAAGATCTTGTGACTGAACTACTTACTACCTATAAAGAAATAGGTTGTAACATGTCCCTTAAAATTCACTTTCTGGACTCCCATCTGGATTTGTTAACCGAAAATTTAGGGGCGGTAAGTGACGAACATGGGGAACGGTTCCACTAAGACATTTCTACTATGGAGAAACGGTACCAAGGCAAGTGGAGTGCCAATTTGCTTGCCGTCAGCTGCTGGACATTGTTAAGGGATACTCCAAAAACAAAATATCGCCGAAAAACATCGACAGTAACATTTTAAGGTACTCTTTGGTTAATAAAATAATATAACAATATATCTATCGCTGTTTTCTTAAAAAACAAAAATACCTCATACGCTATTTTCTGCTTTTGTGGCAATTTTTACATAATAAACACTTTATTGTCATGTCACAAAAAACAAGTGGATTTTTGTTTACCAGTGTTAGTAGAGATCCCACTAATTCTTTAGCACGGCTATTTAAATGATTAGACATTCTATAATTTAAAAAATAAATTTGTTTATTAATCACAAAAATAATACTATTGACAGTTTTATAGTTCAATTATAGGTGCCATAAAAGGAAATACTTGATTTGGCAAACTGTCCGTCCGTTACGTATATCAATTGCCCACATCAATCTTGAAAATGAACAAATATCACTAACGGTAATTTAATTTCAATGACTATAATGAAAGTACTTAATATAGGTGATAAAAACATAAGACCCTTACTAACGTTTTATTAAGGTTTTATACACGATTCATATACTTAAAAATTACAAAAAAAAAACAAACGTAACAACTAATATATTCGATCATAAAAATTAAAATGAATCAACAAATTACAAATCTTTTGGAGGATTAAAATATTCCCAGTGATGCAAATGAACAACAGTCCTTTCCTCCCCATAACCCAACAACAACAGTCCAGCGATCAGCACCAGAATTATGATAATCATTACATTCAAGTCTTGTTTACCGTCTTCATTATGAAACACGTTATTTAAAATATAGGTTATCAGTCTTTTTAGTGCGTTATTAGCCTCAGAACCGCAGGCTCTGATCAGCTGCCCGGATAGCTGTGCTATCGAAGGCTCGCTAGAACGCCTATGGTGCCTCCTTACCACCGGCGTAATTTCTGAAGATTCCTCAGAGCTAGACCTAGTCAGCTGTTTAGACTTAGTGGCCCTCCTTCTTCTGGGCACCACAGGAATGTTTTCGTCAACGTATTTCTGTGCTCTAAGAGCATAAAAGCTAGCTGGAGGTTGGGACGGTATGTACCCTACTGGGGGGTGAGGAGGTCTTGGTGGAGGTTCGTCATCTACTTCCGGTTCTTGTATCGAGAGTTCAGTAGCTGACGGGGAAGGTTTCAAGCGTTCTGACTGTCGGGGAGGCCTATGGGGAGGTTCTTCTTCTCGGGGTACTTCTTCCACTTGAGAAGATTCAACATTTTCACTTACTAATCTATGAGGAGCTTCTGGGGGACTCTCGTGTACTTCTAAATTCAAAGAAACCTCTTCAGAAACTAGCGAAGGAATTTCTTTCGATACCTCTTCAACTTCGGAAACTATAGGAGGCATTTCTTTGGATATCTCTTCAACAGGAACAGTTTCTGTTAAAGATACATCGGATAATAATTCTTCGCTTGTTTCTGGTTCGGCTACAGGGCAAACTTCGAAATTATGTTCGGAAACTGATTTTACGATTGGGCTAGATTCAATCGGAGTTTTTTTTTGTTCACCCAAATCATCATTCGGTTTCTCAAGTTCATCTGAAACGTGACTGCTCTGTATTGATTTTATTATCTGTTCCAATACTTCCGGTGGAAAACTGATTTCTCCAACTTTTAAAGCTCCAGTTCTCGATGATATTTCGTTAGTCTGAATGCTACTACTATCTATCTCTGACACTACTATCTTATCAGCCAAAAGCTTATTAACGGTTAAGGTGTCTACATCTAAGTCAATGACTTGCAGCTTGTGAGCTTTGAGTACATCCATTTCGCTTGTTACGGGTGTGTTGCTCTTAGGATTAGACAATTTATGAAACTCATCCGGAATGAAAGATGTTTCTTCATTATCAGATTCTACATGAACTGATATCAGAGTTTCTTTTGATCTTTGTGTAAAAGCGGAATCGGGTAAAATTTTTGCCCCGTTTAATGGTTCTACTATAAGCGAACCATGGGTTATCGTCTCTTCGTGGGTGAAGACAGTAGGAGTGATGAGTTCCCTTTTCACTCTGTGCTTCTCTGTGGTTTGTGTAGGAATGATAACTCTGTCAGTGGCTTCTTGAACCATTTCTTCGCACACGAAATCATCTGGAAGTGGTTCTGTTTGGGTGTAGACCTCAGTTTCTCCGGTGGATGCTTTCGGTAAATCCTCTATTGAGTCTATCATTATATTTTCTCTAGAGGTGATGTCAGACAGTGGTCTAATTTTTCTAGGAGGCCTTGGAGGAGTTGGTAAAGGCCTCGTTTTAATTTTTTCAATAACTTCGCCAGACTGTAGATCTCTATCATCATCTTGTTCAATGTACTGCATTATATCTTCTATGTCTAGATTTTCTTTATTTTCCATCTCTGATTTCTGTGAAGGGCCAATGGTACTGTAAATTCTGAGGGGCCTAACTGGAGCATCAGCCTCTTCCTGCGCTTTTGATCTAGGTACGGTGAAAAAGTTATTTTCTTGGTTCTTTTTGGACCTCTTTTTTCTTTGAAGTGTTCTCGGCGGTGGTAAAGGTGGATCTCTGGGCTTATTTCGGTCCACAGTTGTATAACCCATGTAATCACAGACAGTTTGCATGCAAGGTTCTTCTACGCATGGTACTGGATTTTCTTCAGCCAAAGAGTCAGAGTGTAGAGCTAAGCTATGTTGAGATACTGATCTAGAACCCGTTCCCCTGGATCTTGATCTCGATGGACGCTTTGGTCGAGGTATCTCCTCTTCTATAGGTATTATTATTTTTGATTCTGTTCTGATTGTTTCAATCTGAAATAAAATAAAAAAAATTTGAAACGTATAGTTTGAAAAAACAATGTAAAATCTTTTTTTAGTTATATATTTTTGATTAAATTCAAAATAAATTACCTCAGGTTCTTCAAGTTTCTTTTCCGAACTGAAAATTGCTCGGTTTGCAGTTAGATCTCCGGGATACGACTCATTCTCAGATATTGTCAAGCTTTTCAAACTTTTTTGTCTACGTGGGGGAGCCGCTGGTGGCAAGTCTTCAATGCTTTCATCCATATATCTATAGTTATTGAAGTTTTTGCCTATATCTGCTTCTAAATATGATATATCTTCAATACCACCAATTTCAGGTTCAGTGATATTCAACTCATAACTGATTTCAGGCTCATATTCTTCAAGTTCTTTCTCCTTATTATGGTAACTTATCATTTCAGGCTCATATTCCTTTACGAGTTCTTTCTCTTTCGTATGATAACTTATTCTTTCTGGTACTCTTCCATTAGTAGGAACTGTTGCAACCACATCGAATTTTTGAACTGCAGATCCTGCTTCAAAAGTCTTTAAACTTTTAATATTTTTCGGTTTTAGACGTGGCGGAGCTTCAGGGATATATAAATCTTCTTCCTCTTCTTCTTCCGCCTCTTCTTCGCCGTAATCTTTATAAGGATCGGTTATTTGAATTTCGGGTTGTTCAATACCCTCCATTTTCTCGTTTTCGTACATAAAGTCCCGTTCGTCATCAGCTAGGATTCCTAAACTTTCTCTATGTTGCATTAATCTATCGTCACGTGCTTCCTCTACTTGAATAGTTTCTTGATAAGGGATAAACTCTTCGTTGATCTTTTTCTTTCTTTTGCTACGACGTTTAGGTCTTGAAGGCGGATACGCATCAAATTCGTCATCGGCAGTCTCCTCTTCTTCATATTGGAATCTTTCTTGAGAAGCATGTGGGGTTTTCTTTCTTTTAGGCTTCTTTATAGGCTTTCGTTTGCTTTGCATTTCTGGTAAAGATTGGTGGGAACCTTTATCAAAGTTGTTTTGTTCCATTTGGACCAAAGCGTTGGTAGGGTTTCTAAAAGCCTCTCTTATTTCAGTACTCAGGTACATTCCTACTTCAATATTATCCTGGGAGATTCCTTTCTGTCGTAAAAAGAATTCATCTGGGTTAATCTCCTCTATGACCCCTTGTCTGTGAACTCCCACTCCTACTGAGCTGCCTGAAGAGTAATGTTGGTCTTTACCATTATTAGAAGAGAATTCTTTATCTTCAGAAGGTGAATCTAGATCTGTAACTCTGTGTTGACGCTTTTGTTCCATGAGTTCATCTGGGTTGAATCTTCCTCTCTGCCATCTACTTAAGAAATCTCGTTCTTCCATGATTTCTCTAGTTTCTTTATTATATTCATCCTCACTATCGATACCTTCATCATATCTGATGTGAGATGATCTGTTCAAATCACTCGAATCTACTGGCAAGCTAACGTTATCTTTCTCCACAGAATCATCCGAATGCAATGGGATTCTGATAGAGTCCGTAGCGCTTTTTCTACTATCATCGGTAGATTTACTGCTGTCAGTTTTCTTGGCTCTAGGAACCGTGGCGAAATCTGACGCAACCTCAGGTTTAGGCTTCTTCTTGAAAATCCTGGGGTAAGTACCGAAGTCGAATGTAATTCTCTTAGAGTCACCGGAGGTGGACTCTGTCGATGAAATTCGTTTTACCGGCTTCTTAGCACCTTTGCGCGGAAGGCTGAAGTGCGGTAAGTTTATTTTAGCAGTGTCTGGAATTTTCGGCATGTTCCATTTGGGTTTTTCGATTTTGAACCTCTGCAAATTCGGTTTTTGGAATTTGGGCCTCTCCGGGAAGTTAATGTGAGGTCGTTTGAAGTTTTGGAGCTTGGTTTTGAACTTATCGGCTTTCTGTTTGAAGGCCGCTTGGAATCTGCTCGGGCCTTCTTTAGGCTTCGGTTCTGTTTCGCTGACATCTGAGCTTTTCGAGTCTGTCGTGGCAGAGAAGACGACTCGTTGGGGCCTCGGCGATCTTTTCTGGCTGTCCTCTGATATTTCTTCGTAGACATGCTTGGTGCTTAAGTTATAGTTGTCTTGGTCGCCCGAGCCTAGTGCTTGGTCTGCGCTGATCACAACTGCTGGCGTGTTGTTTAGGGTAAAAGTTGGTATGTCGATGTTGTTGGATTGTTGTAAGTGCACAGGTTCATGGTCATGGTCACTGAAAAAGAAAATGTACTTTTCAATAATTATATAGGTAGTATAGAGGTTGGTTCTACTACAGAAATAATGCAGGATTTTTTTTGTTATTTCGTCATGATATGCTTTAAACTACATTGCCTAACATTTTCTGTGTGTTTTTTTAATTATTTGATTTATTTAGGTAAGTTAGAAGAATATGGATAATTTTTTATTATTAATTTTACAGAAAAAAATATTCTTTTTAAAAAGTGATGCATGATCTAAAACATAAAATGAAACCAGATATATTTTTTTAAGTTAATCGTTCTGTTTCATTTTTAATCCAATCTTTATCTCAACATAATTTTGTAGTACTTCTTGAGTGAGTCTTAGAAACAACTCGAATGATTTATTATCCCTATCGCACTCAAACATCATTCTCCTGGACACCCCACCCATGTACAAACTACTATATTATTAAAATAATGAAGGCAATAAGTTGAATATTTCTATTTTCAAACTTACTGTAACGAATCAGTACTGAATCTAACAGTGGGCCTCGACTTCACTTGACCAACAACTTTTTCTTGAGCTTGAGCGGCCAACTTTTCGGCCATTTTCTCCGCCATCAGCGCATCGCTTTGGAAATACTGGCACGCGCACCGAACATCTAGCGACTTGACCGAAGTCTCTGAAGACGGTTCTCTCGATACGTCGCGTCTCTTTCCCGCCGTTTTTCCGCCTTCGGATAGGGATCTTTTGTTTTGTTTGTAAGAATTGCCCATGCGGTTGACGCGCCCATTTTTTTTGCCATAGGATTGCACCCTTTGCGACTCCATGGTGGGTTTTAGGTCGTTTGCGAGTGGCTGCTAACGAAGAAGTGGAAAAATGTTGTTTTTAAGTAATTGGTGCGCCAAATGTTGGGAAATATTTGTCGTATTTAATTAATTTAATAAAGAAAGAAATTAACAATAGGGGTAACCCATAGATATAGAAATAATACAGAAAGAACTGTCTAACTAATTGCCTAATTAAAAATAAGGATGAGATGAGGAAAATAAAGATAATGTTCTCTCATATAGTTTTGTCATATCTAGATCAAACTTGTTGTTCTTCATCAAAGCAATAACAGGGTGACACACCGAAACTTTCAAGGGGGACACCTACAATGAATACTTTTAACACTCGTGGCTCAACCTCCTAGGGGAGGTCGATGTTACCCTTAAAATCTTAAATTGGAAAGAGGGCCAAGTGGCACATCATTTTTTCTCGTTCATAGTGTGTTATATTTTTTTATAATTTTAGAAGCTTCACCTCTGGAAGAATTGATTTAATGAATGGCATAATAAATCTGATATCCTTTTAATTTGACGTGCATATATCTACATGTTGTATCTCTAAGGTCACTAATAACTCTTGCTAGTGTTGGAAGAGTCCATTTGTATTCCATTCGAGAATCGACTTTTAACACACTCAAAAAATAAATAGAATATTCATTTGTCTAGTGATAATAAAATCATTTAGTATTTCTATTACTTTTTATCAACTCTGCATTGTCCAAAACCAAGAAGAGTAAGCTTATCCTTTAAATGTTGAAAGGAAAAAAATAAGTTTTGAATTATTAGGGTTTATTTTAGAAAATAAAATCATCCCAAATCTAGTTGATATGTTCAAGCCACTTTTGTGCAGATGACTTTCTTTATAAGTCGAATTGAGTCGGATGTCCGGGGTCTGAAGAATGATGAAAATCCAAAATCAAAAATTTACCAATCACACAGTTCAAGGTATATTATATATTAATTTATATATCATTGCATTTGGATATAATTAACTATACTGTCATTACTTTTTTGTAAATATAATACACTTTTGCAGTGTTCCTTCTCACTCCATTCAAAGTTGTTTATTTCAACACCTTTTAAAGGTTCATGAAATTATAAAATTATTGTACACATATTAATATGGTGCCAATTAAAATGGGCATACTTGTAATTCATTAATTAAAGCGTCCTACTTAATTTATTGAAATTTGTATAACCTTTTCTTTATAGAACAGTAGTTTCAGTAAAAGAAAGTATTCTGCTTATTCCTGGGCCATCAACAACCGTTTGTACTTCTGAAACTTAGTTAATATTCAGTGTTAGTGATGTGGAGAATATTTCGCTACTACATATTAGGTACCTCAGAAACATTTAGAAGAAAACTTGCTTTTATTTTCATCCGAAAAAAATATTAAAACATCTATCAATATAATTGAGTTTTTATATATAGTCGGAGAGCTAGTAACACAAATTTCATTAAGTGTTTGATGCACTTTGAAATTTTGTAATTTGAGATCATTTGGATGGAAAAGCAGATATACCTGTGGCTAGACCCACCCCCCTGTACACCAGGTACTGCGCATAATAAAAAGGGGTCGTAAAATATGACCCAAAAAAAGTGTTTGATTCAGAGGCCAACAAACAACAATTGAAAGTTTAGGTAATTCTAAAAATACTAGTAGTTTAGGCAGACACTTTTGAGAGGGTTTATAATTAATAAATCAACCCCAAAATTGATTTTTTTAAAATATGATTTGAAGTGTTTGATTCACGCTGAAATTTTAATAGCGTCTTAATTAAATATAAAAAAAAATTAATTCCAAAAAGGCAGACACTTTTTCCGGGGTTTAATTGCCGTCCAACATAAAAATAAGTCTTATTTACTATAGAAAGATATAGGCTGCGTATGGCTGTAGGTGTGAGAGAGTGCTGATCACCGCCGTTATTACAGTCTTTCTCTACGCTCCCATTGGTTATTGGTCACGTGTCTTTTTACAGCTGTATATTTTAAATTCATATTTCGGAGTATAATAAAAAAATGCATTTATTTAGATGACTTATGTTTAAACTTATATTCTCTCAAGACTAAAAATTAATACAATTAAGTAATAATGATACTTTTATAGTTTTTTAAATCATATATTTATGTGATTCCATTAAATTACAATGTAGGTATCATTTGACATGATAAAATTTTGTTTCCAATTTATTTTTGTTTAATTATAAAGTAATAATTCGTAAATATTTGTAATAAATTGTTATATATTATTATAAGCGATTCCAAACTTCTGTCAAGATGTGCTCGGTGGGGCAGAGCGTACAGTGGTCAAAATTTGGATAGTGTGGATAGCAAGTTGGTGGTTCGAGCCCCGAAACTTTTAGTTTTTTTTTTATAGTCGGACTATTTCTAAGACTAGTAGAAGATGGCTGAACTATAATTTAGAGTCTACATGTTTAGTATGCTAAACTTATAGTCTCTTTTATAGTTCCTTAGTAGAATAACCCTGCAGGTGTCCCGGGGTGGGTCTAGCCAACACAGGTATATCTGCTTCTCCATCCAAATGATTTCAAATTACAAAATTTCAAAGTGCATCAAACACTTAATGAAATTTGTGTTACTAGCTCTTGGACTAATAGGTTATTTATATTCATAAGGTTTCTTGGAGAAGTTACTTTCGACTATTGAGAATATCAGTCATTATTCATATATTATTTACATTTCCACCAAAAATGTATATTAAAAAAATACAATTTTATTAAATTTTAGAGCAATAATAAAGTATATCGCGGATTTGATAAATGAAGACTTTTATATTCCAAAAGGATCAAACAAAACTGTGTATTATTTAATATAGATTAATAAATTTAATAAAACACTTTTAAAATTGATTTGCCATTTCATTTTCCTCCATTTCCTTTTTAATGATACGCCTATGTTTACATTCTAACAAAAGCGGCAATTTTCACTCACTTTGCACCTCTGCCCTTACTTATGTTTAACGTTGGCACGCTTAAAAAAAAGTAATTTATGAATGAGTTGTAGAAGATGTGTGGTAGCCATTATAAGATTGAATTTTTCTTTGTATCGAAGTTTAGAATTACTTCTTCTACAGGCACAGCAGTATAATAACATCTCCTTTAATAAAATTAGCCAGTTCGGTAAAATAATTTATGAGCCGAAAGTCGTGTATTAACATTTATGACATCAATACATATAATTAAATTCTAATTCTTAGATGGACAAAAACAGTTAAACTTAAATAGTTGTGTTAGTCTCTATTTTGCATTAGAAAGTTTTTCCTCCATCTTCTATTTTGATTAAACATATATATGTACCTAGGCAACATAAAACGTAACTAAGTTCAATATCAAGTTTAATCATTAAAGTACCATTTGAAATAACGACTGATTATTCTTTCAAAATAATAACACTAAGTGAAAATATACAAGGTATCTCCAAAAGCATGGGACATAGCTTAATTATAGACTCCTGGTATAGAGAATGGGTAATATTTTTTAATGGAATTTTGGTTGTTTCTATTCAAATGGTTTGTAAACCCAGTCTAACTTAAAGAAGCTTAAGCTGCTGCCATCTGTATTTTGTCATAAACTAAGTGAAATCTAGCTTCAAATAACTATATTTTTTTTCAATTCAACTAGAATAATTTGAATCCTCTATTAAGGCCAAAAATCAATTAAAAACCTATATTAAAATTTGAAAAGAACACAATTTAATAATTCCAGAAGTTCAGTAATGGACCAAGGGCATTTGAGGAACTCTTTAAAATGTAAAAATATTATTAAAAAGTTTCTACAATACGCAAGCGCGTTATTTAGAGTGCTATAAATATGACAAATATTTCTCCCCATATATAAAAATGCAAAAATTAAATGGACAAAGGAAATGTCTCAAAACATAAAACCAATTCTTTAGCACACTTGTTACCTAAAGGCATCCATAGGATTTAACTTAAAAATGTCGCGCGTCCATCACCACTTTTTTTGGACGAATAATTTCGATTTTATTCCATTTTAGCCCGTACGTCGGGGAGTGACTAGCTCCAGTATCTATAGACCACTAGGTAATTTTAGTGCGCGTCTATTGTTAGATTTTTGGTAGGTTACGACGTTTTCCGAGCTAAAATCCTGAAAGCTCGAGTGTTTTTATTTTTGACTTGGCCGTGGCTCGAGAGCGAAAATATTTTCGCGTTATGAATGT